AAACAAGGTTTACCCCATAAGCCACCCAACATCCCAATAAATGTAATTTTCTGTAAAACTTTCCTGAAACCGTGATTTTTGATCACTCTCTTGTAATTTTCATACAAATAAAGTTTGGAATAGTGAAATTTCCCTCAACTTTATATTTCTTCTAAATACCAAAATTAATCCCCCATCTAGGGTCCCATTCCCTAAAATCAAACTTTTAAAGTCAGGTCTCGTTCAATATTTAATGGTCTCTTCTTAAATTTTAAAGTAATAAAAATTTAGAATATGATTCTTAACATTTCGTTGCGCATGAAAAGTTTAAATAAAACCGAAATATTCAGCAAGTTTTATTCAGAAAGTTAACTATAAAAATTAACTTTTTCCAATGATAAATTTTAAAACTCAATTATAAAACTAATGTTATAATTGAGTACAAAAATATTTCAATTAACTTAAGAAGTTCTCGAGATATGGTCAAATACGCAGAAAGCGAAATTTACATAAAGGGGTCCAAACTTTGAACCGCTCTTCCGACCAAACTATTGGGACCACATTTCCCATACTGCGGCTACCCTCTATATTTTGGGGGTCAGAAATCTGAATTCGTTGAAAAAAAGACATGTTTATTTGGAGATAGTAAATTTTTTGATCTGGTTTCGTAACTTAAATTATCGTCTGCAGTAATTGATTAGCATATTTGAAGTCAACCCCACGGACCATTAAGATTGAATCTTAGAACGAGAAAATCCGATCATTAGATCAAAATTAATTCAAGGTGGTCCGCTTTTTATTTCGCAAACTGTATATTAAAATGACGTACACAATTATGTAATACATTACGATGGAAAGATTTGTTCTTTTTCTTTTTCTTTTAGTACTTTTTATTTTATTCTTAAACACGACAATGAAACAATCACAAGCTCTGAAGTGGCAGCTAAATTTTATTACGAAAATGATACAGTACTTTTTGCTTGCAGATGTCGTTCCATAAATGTCCACTTATCACTAAACATTTTCATATGTCAGAAAATGGCACATGTTTGAAATAGGTATATACAGGACTTAACACCAAATACCATCTAGTGGCGATAAAAGCTTAAAACGTATCCAAAAGTTTTGTAATTGATCATATATTTTTTCCCATTCCAGTATTGCCTTAAAAATATTGAAAAAAAACATGAAAAAAAATATATTGAAATATTGAAGAAAAAATTGAAAAAGCAACATTATTAGTCGACATATTTTATTTTTAGTCGAAACATATTTTATATAACATACAACATATTTTATTTTTAGTCGAAAAAATTATTTAGAACAACTTTAAATCTTGTAGAATATGTTCTCTTGAAAACTGTACTTAAATGTATCAAGATGAGAATTCAGAACTTGTATTTGCTGCTTTTATACAGAAAAAAATCAGCATAAGCTGCAAAAAGTTCAAAATTGAGGTGTTTATATCTTTGGCATTTTTACATGATGAGCTACAATTTGGAAAAAGTCTTTTTCTTGTGAAAAATTAATTTCTTATCAGTTTTTTGAGTTTCTATTTTCGCATTGATAGTAAGGTTTAAAAATAGTTAGGGTAAAACAACAATAATTGGTCTATACTCGTGTCAAAGTTATTCTGAAAGCATTACAAAGGCCGCAACAGTCTGTTTCCAATTGTTTTACCAAATAACGTCTTTTATTTCCAAGTTGGGCGATTTTTTAAAATTAAAAATCATATACTTTGAATTTGCATAAAAGAATAATAATAGAAACCATAATTCGATTATCGTCTGCTACGAGACATTAATGATATAAATAAAAGTTTGAATATTTAAATGTGTGAATTTCATTACCGAATATTTATATGTGAGCTATCAAACTGTCATGAAATTATCAACAGTTTTCAAATTTATAAACATTTTTACTACATCTTAAATGGATGAGAAGATAGAAATAAGAACATAAAGGAAAAGATGAAGGGTTACAGCAAAAATGGTTGGAACTAATACATGCCAATAAGTGGGCTGATTTCGTTATTCTTTTTACCTTCGCCAGTGTGCATTTTTACACTTTTTCAAACTATAAATTTAAAAGAATTTCAAGTTCATGCGGACTCAATTTTTAGTAATTTCTACTATTCTTATCTGAAAAACCTGTATTTGTTTGTTGCCTTTTCTTTAAGTTAGATTATAAACACTTTTAAGGCGAATTTTTCTATACAGTCTGAATTTTACACATTGTAATACACAATACTTATAAGTTAGGTTTGCCGCAAGTACTGTTTGTTGCCCCACATCTTATATCATTAAAAATATATCTTTTTTTTAATAAACTTTTAATTTATTTCTGTAAATTTGTTTTATCATTTTCAAGCGCACTTTTTTAAATTCTTTTTAATTTGGAGATATACTATAAGTTTCAAGATTTTTTTTTTTAAAATTTAGGAACATAGTAATTAAGTTTTTTTAAAAATTGCTTTGGGGTGGGAACAGTTGGGGCAGAATATCCCTTTTGTGTTTACATGCAGTAAATTGAAGAAATGATAATAGTTTCTGAATTACAATGCGCAAACTGCTAGCTTTCAAAAAGTGTTAATTCAAAATTTCAAAGGCAATGCATAAATGTAAAGAATTAAAAAAAAACATTGTTTTTTTTTTGTTTACTTGACTTTTCGTATTCAAACAAACAGCAAAGTTATAAGAATGTATTTCAGCTTTCTTCTTCTTCCTACCGTCATAAAAAAATTACCTATATATATATATAAAACAAAAAGAAAA